TTAACAAGCACTCTTAGAATAATAATAACCAATTCCTTTCTCAGCGCTTTATGATCTTCTAAAGATGGCAGGAATGTGATATTTGGTAGATCCAATACTGATTGTATAGGTTTGCTATTGCTAAGTTGCTCTCCTCTCACTCTTTGCTCAATACCAATCATGCAGAAACCATGTATTGACTTTGTATCCTTAACTGAGGAGTATATTGTTGGACGCTGTTCAAAGTCACAGTTATCCCCAACAATGTCATATTGTTTAGATTTAACACARCAAAGTGGAMCATGRCAAGAGTCATCATCATTGGCATTTCCTAGATAAATTTGAAATATTGTAATTAAAAATAAAATAAAATGTAAGGACTAGATATGAATACATCTATTCCATCCCTCTCTGTTTGTTTGTTTTTTTTGGAAGACTTTTGTTGTTTTTTTGGAATACTACACAGAAAACAGAACAAACAAACACGGGTTAGATGTAAATGATTTTTCTATATTTACATGTAACACATTCTTGGATGCCATCATAATCAAAGCATAAAAATGTCATTCACTGTTTTGATGTCACCGGGACAAACACAAAAATCCTCAGATGAAATTGGGCTGACCTGTTGTAGTGTCCATGCTTGTTGTTTCATGGAGGTCATGAAYMTTCTGAACCTTCTSTTTCCAAGTTAAAACAGGTAAATCATGCCCTTTTGCCATCTCTTTGAGCTTTGTATTTACTGTGTKTTTTGATRTACAAATGCCCATTTTTGACAGTCTTATAAACCCCTTTACAAAAGAATAGAAAATAAATACATTATAATCTGCAAAAAGTTAAAAAAATTAAACAGCTACATTTGCACAATTTTTATGTTTGTATGAACCAATTAAAAACATTTTTGTTACTGGAAATTTAAGATTCCTCTGTATTTACATAATTTTTATAACCAAGGTTTTGGCYTATGTGGCCAGTGATTATTGTAGCAAGGAAGAGGACAAGTGATTTTAAACAATTCAAAAAAAGGAAAGAGAAGGAATTTAAACAAATAAACTGTGCTAACACAGAGGGATCTTACATTTCTGATACATGTTGCTATGATACTGATCTTATTTTAGAGTGCAAGGATTGAGCCCATGAAACAAAATATAACAATCAAAGTGTGAAAGAGTCTAATATATACAAAAGAAAACTACAACAGAGTTGACTAATGTGTATTAGTGTACACCTATTTCACAGGCTTATTGAAACCACTTCACATGTAAATCTAGATACCTTCTTCTTTGTTTGACTCTGATGCAAAATTATTCCCATAATGTGCTGTAGAGCATTCATCCGTCTATTCCGGCACTGCATTAGAATAGAGCCAGACATCAAAACAGGTGCTATGGATTTCTGTATTCGTCCTTCCGAACATCCAGGACGGAGAGCTGCACCATGCATTAATTTAAAAAATGTTGGACAGTGCAGCCGCCATTCCTTCAAAATCTTTAACATTGAAAATGTCTTCAAAGAACTTGGACCAACAGCTTTCATCAAGGTTTTTTTCATCTTGCAGAGTTTGTCCATTTCCCTAGCTAATTTAAGTATGACCTKCTTRATAATGCACTGCTCAAGATCCTTGTTGGACAAAGCTGCACAGGCAATTGATTTGAAAGTGGTCATTCTTACTAAACTAAGGCCAAGCTTTCTTAATGAAGATGGCAACTTTCGTCTTTGGGTTTTCGATTTCCAGACAGATGTTATCTAAAAATATGAGTAACAGTTTATTTACATTGTTTTAGCTCATTAGCATACACAATATACCAATATCATGTATCAAATATTGAAACATCCATGTATACAAACAAATGCAAATTCACTACTTTAGTAACTTTTTGAATGTTTAGGTACATCAGTTACATATTTTTTCCCCTTTCATTGTTTTTAACTGCTAGCGTATGTAGTAAATGTAAATAGAACGTTTCCTAGATTTGTTGAAATATTACATAAGCAGTCATACTTTAATTTTTTTTTTGAAAATTCATTATTTTATAATAAACAATTACAATAATTCTTTCGAATGGTGGCACATTACTATTATTGTTTGAGAATTCRTTATTTTATAATAAACAATTACAATAAATCTTTCGCATGGTGGCACATTACTATTATTGTTTGAGTTACGAACTTCATTCGAAACAATATTATCTATACAATAATTCGCCGGGGATTTGCAAGATATAGAGTCTACTATCGAAGAACTTACCACAATACTATTGTTCTCAGTCAAATCCTTGTTTCGGCGCGTTTGGGTAGCTTTTGTGACATAGATTGTTGAGGTTTGAGAAGATTTATCGACGAGCGGTCCAGTTACATGCAAAGGTGGCGAAGTTGTTTGCGTGCCTATAGTCGTCGCAGAAGTATTATTTTGAGCAGAACTTCCAATTACTTGTATTGATAATGGTGGTAGTGCCGGTAATATCATCGGTTGTATYGGTTGTTGACTAAAATCAATGCTTTTCTGTGCTCTTGGCGGCGCTTTGGGAAGAATTGGTCTTTCGCGCGGCACGGCGCTCGCATTTGGAGGTGTTTTTCGTCCTCGTTTGAATCGAGAAGTTTGTTGTAAATCATCAGGGCATTTATCCCTCTCTTCCTYGAAATAGCGAATTATTTCCGTAACTTCCTTCTGCACACGAGGGAATCTCTGTATCTTCCATTTGCAGGGACTACAAATATAATCGGATATGCCAGGCTCGACCGGTGTCTCAAGAATCACTTCTAAAATTTTATACAATTCCTGGGCTCCAAATAATTTAAAACGATCTTTGGACGCATTCAGTGTCTTGCTACACGTTCGACAGGTCTCAGCCACGTATTTCACGGGGGTTACTTTTACATTTGCTGACATTTTTCAATAAAAACTGCCCCGCAGCAAAAGCTTGCGAGATTCCCGCCATAATAGAACTGCAGTTTCGCGGCAGGCGTCAAATTCACGAGCTCTATTAAGCGAACAATTATCGATTACTATATCATATTACTTCCTGTTTTCTGATTGGTTGATAAATTTACCGGCCGCCATTTTGAATTTCGAATCGAGAACAAGGTCTAACAGACTTCGTGCCCAGGGGTATTTTTTCTGGGAGTGAGGAACGAACGACAGAAGATAACCCCTGGGTTCCCGAGGATGAGTCATTGATGACTTTAATCGATATTATTTGTGTAGTGGAGACTTGATATCCAACAGCACTCTCATAAGTTGTCCCTAGATTGAAATTTGGTTACAATAGCNAACATAGCTCGTTCTAGAGCTTGCTGCTCCCACATTGACGACAGACCCAACGCCTGATACATATCGATCGGGATTTTCCCGAGATGAACCCGAATCGCTTTCGATTTGGACATTGACACCCGACGACCTGACGCTCCTCGAA